AGCGAGGTAGCAACCATAAGGCGAACAATTATTTTTTCGTTAAAAATATTTGACAAGAAAGCACTCGATACTTTTACGGCCGCCATTCTAGCTGACCGACGTCCGCTGAAGAAATTCAAATTCTTCTGATTGTGTACATAGGTGGTAGCATAGGCAACTCGTCGGACCCTAAATGATAACAGTAGTGCTCATAGGGTCGAGGACTTGCACTATGTGTGTGCATACTTGTTGTGCAACTACGTGTGTGGGTTGATTACCAAGAGATGGGGAAGGAACAAGTTTGGGATTATCTTTTTTCTCGTTGATCTTTTTCTCCAAGACTTCAATTTTATTCGACATGGACTTGACAGTTTGAATGAGATAAGGCATCACTTCTTGCGTCATGCCATGCACCCAAGCGAGTTCCAGTGCGACTTGTGGCCGTATGGTTTTGCTGCAAAGCTGTAGAGAGGCCGAGAAGTAGTTGGCATTGTGTAGGTCTTCGACGAAATACCTTACCAGATTTTCCGACACGGCGGTGTCCTGACTTTGGACCGCAATGCCAATGGCTTCGGCATATTGCTTGAACTTCTTAGCGAGGGAGATGGCGTGTCCGTACTTTTTATCTTCCTTATACAGCATGAGAGCGAGTTGTTTCATGGCCAAGAGTTCGTGAGATTCGAGTTTTCGCGCGAGAGCTCCTTGGTCAAAGTTTCTATAGGTCATGATGCTCTTTTTGAGCGCTTCGGCGTCATGGTAATCGATGTAGAGTTCGTTCAAGGTATCATTTATTATGGAGGTGGTCTCATTTGCCTTACGTTGTTCTGACTCGAAGAATGGTTGCAGAAGGCCGATAGGACTCTCGGCAAGGTTGCCCGCCTCCAGGTGCCTCTTGTGGCTCCGTAGGCATTGGATGAGCCTCTGGTAGTCGATCTTGCTACTGACCGGATTGCTTGCTATTTGGTTAAGAAGCTGGTTAAGCATCTCAGGGTGCTCTTCTATGTAAAAGGTCACCGTTTTGTAGACCAAGTCTTTGTTGGTGACGTTCAGCAACACTTGGACGGTCTGTTGCGGCTCCCAACAAGATTCCGGGTGTGTCAAGATAGTGTTCATCGCCTGATCATACTCGCTATAGGAAAGGTACAGTAACACTACACACGTCCACTGACGTTCCTGGTCGCACACTTTGATGAGTCTTGGGATATTGAGACGCGTGGAGGTGGTGCAGGAGACAGAGGCCAAGCCGGAGGGCACGTTGCTCGTAAGTGTTCCGGAGCCCATGGTGCTGGTAGTTGATGCAATAAACTCCTGCAATTTGTCAGGACGATATTTGGCATAGCAAATGCCCATTTCCGTTAACAACTGAATATTCTGCTTGCCCATATTTACACCGGTCTCTAACAAGTTAATCAGCTCACCGTAGCGACCGTGAGACTCATAAGCCTGCACCACCTTCTCAAGATGGTCCACATATTCAATCACGTGCAATGAAGATGAATGCGCTACCTTCCAATCGCCAGATTCAATCGAAGCCAATGCCACATCCACCCATGACTTGGCACTGCCTGCTCTCTTCGCCGTCTCCACTGCAGCCACATGATCGCCAAGACGCACGTTACAAGCAGTCAACTTGGCATGGTTCGGCACCTTGGCATAAAACAACTTAGCCAGTTGATACAACTCTGCGGCCTCCGCTGTCAGACTAGTAGCACCCGCAGCCTGGTCGGCATTCTGCTGCGTCTGCGCCTCGTCGAAGAGCATGTCGCCCAGCTTTTGGCAGTTGACCGTGTGCACACCAATTAGTAACTTCTCCAACTCCGCCTTTTTACCCGTTTTGGCCATGGCGTACGCAAGCTCCGTATCCACACTATGGTCAGAACTGGCATTAGTCCGTAAGCTTTGTAAAAAGTCCACCAGTTCGGTAAGACGGTGGTTCTTCTTCGCCGCCTCAATAATTCTCGAGGTACACGGACATCTGTCTACCCTCTTGTATATGTTCATGCACTTCACCACCATGTCACCAGCTTGCTCCGCTCTAGCAACCGCTCCCGTCCCCAAGTGCGTGTCCGTTGCCAAGTCCGTGTCCAAGTCCATTTCCGCGGCATTCAAACAGAACTCTCCCAGCCGGTTCCACACCTCATTGCTTTGGACCGACTCGGCAAACGCCTCGGCGGTGTCAACCTCCTTCAGGTTCAGCAGCATGACATTCAGAGCCTTCAAACTCATACCGTGTTTCTGATAAATGGCCAGTGCGTCCTTCTCCATGCCTTTGTTCAAAGCGGCCTCAGCTACGTGGTCTGGAGTTATGTTATCTAATTTGGTTATCAAGTAACGTGCTTTTTCTTGGTCCACATCCATGGCAGTGAAAATAAGCTTGTCCTGAAGACTAGTAAGATTAGCAAACTCGTCAACCATGTCCGCGGGGATAGACTTGTGGACTACAATCCTCTCTAGGATCTCCAACAAGTCTCGTTGAGCAGCCGCTTCATTAATTGCCTCGATCGCACACCACACTTCCGACGGCGAATTTGCGTCCATTAGCGCCGTAGCCATCAATTGGTCCAGAACTCCGCGTCGGTGGTCTTCCGGGGCCGACAAAACTTTATGCCACAGTCCGCGATCTGCGCGATTCAACACATATTTTGCCTCAATGCGGTACAAACCGTTTTTGTTAGTCAATTCGATCAACTCATCATCACACCGTCCCTTGATGTAGGCCGCCACTGCCATATGCGGATCTTTGTTTTCGCAGTACTTACCAATCTCTCGTGCATTGTAGTTGGCGTTATTATCCAGGAATTTGGCCGCATCTCTGTTCGTGTCGATATACACCTTAGCCACGGCGTTGTTTAAGCACTCATCCACCCGGCCCTCATTAATGCGTTCTTCCATCCACGGTAGAATTAGGAGCAGCCGGCCTCGCTTCTCCATCGCCGACACTAACGGCTCGATCGGACAGGCCGCCCGCACACTCTGCAAAATACTTACAATCCGTTCCTCCGGACAACCGAGATCTAACAGGGTCTCAATGACCTTCGGTGTGTTCTGCACACCCACCCGACTGACATACACCTCCAGATAGTCCATCTTGTCGTTTCGGTATAGACTTTCAGTCAGTTCTTCAATGAACTCATGGCGATCACATACAAATATGAAGGCACGAGGTTCTGTCAAATCCGCCGCCTTGAGCAAATCTTTAACCCGGACCGGGTCGTAGACCATGGACTCCTTAACCATGCGCTCGCATTCCGACCAGTGGTTGAGCTTGGCGGCTGCTTGAATGTATTTGAAGTGGACTTCCGGATCGTCGCTTTGAGGAACCATGGCACCGGCAAAGAGATACACGGCCTCGATGCAGTTGGTCTGTTCAAACATGTTGAACACATTCTTGATGCCCAGCTTCTGCCAATAAGTCACGGCGATCTGAACAATCGCATTCAAACTGCCCCGGCTGGAGCGGAGTGTGTCGGCCAAAATCTCTAAACTTGTTTCACCCGGGAGGTTAGCACAGTACTGCGACAGCCAGTCAATGTTCAGCTGACTACCAGACTTGCTCAGAACTCGCTTCACGTCCGCCATATCCGTATAACATTCCAACGCACGTTTGTATAGTCCAGCTTTCTCCGCCAATTGCCCGATTCGTGTCCTATCGTAGTGCTTAAAGATGTTCTGCTGGAACAACAACTCCGCTGTAGACGGGTCTGCGGCAATGCTGGACTCCAGAATACGTGTCTCCAATGCTGACTGTTTGGGGAATTCTACCTTGCCGATAAGCCCGCTGAAAACACCGGTGATATCGCGCACTCGATTGTGCTGTGCAAATAACTCAAAGACAGACATGGGATCTATCCGGGATGTCGCGTGGTTCTCCAACAGACCTCGTGCAAACTCGAGAGCCGACTCAGGACTAGTAAGCAAGCTGGATCGGAGCATGCCAATAAAGTCCGCCTGGCACTTCTTTCTCCGAATATATCCCATCAGCTTGTTAAATGCCCCACGCTCTCCGTATATTTTGAGCACCTTGTCGTGACAATTCGCCCGCTGGTACACCACAAGGGCAAGGTCTATATCCACCGTCCCAATCAGGTCGCCCAACGCCTCGTTACACTCCAACCGATCCGTATTTACCCAGTCGTCAATAAGACCTTTTTTCTGCTGGTTCACGGCAGGCCTGCACAACTCCATTGACTCCGCAGCTGTCAGGCGCCCAGGGATAGCTAACAGGGCGGTGAAATACTGCAGTGCTGCGCTCGGCATTCCTGGAACTGTCTTAGCCGCCCGGAAGGTGCTCATGGTGGTCGGACTTCGCAGGTTCTTCGACTTACTCAAAGCACACAATGTCGCAGCCGCCTTGTAACGTTGCGACTGGAACAACGACTTAAAGGTGCCAATAACGAATTCATCCGCTTCCGGGTAACCGTACCGCTTCGCTAAGGAACCACCAATACTTACACCATTCGGGACGCACTTAATGATATACTGGATCAAACCGAACTCGTTTACAGACACGCCAATGACCACTCCCTTTCTGTTCACCACCTTAATGCCACCAGTCAAGCCGTCAGGCTGAGCCAAAAACAACCCTTCGGTGGACACACGTTCGGTAATCAGCCTGGTGCCACTCAATGCATCAAACACCATCACATGACCGTTCTTTGACGCGGTATAAATCACGCCATGGCGCTTCGAGAACTAAAATAAACATTTGAAATGAACCATTCGTTTAGCAAACTTTTGCCCCACGTGCGTGGTTGGTTAGCACACGTGCGTGGTTAGTTAGCACACGTGCGTGGTTAGTTGGCACACGTGCGTGGTTAGTTAGTGCACGTGCGTGTGATGCGCGGGGGATGTCTGCCACCCAAGGACGGACTTACATGTGCTGCCAAGGGAAAATCATTAGCGAATTCCGGCGGATAGGTGAACTCTTGGTCTACCTTGAAGGGGAAGGGGTGACCTTCGCCTCTGGCGGCGTATATATCCATGACGTACAGCTTCATGGGGCCATCGTTCTTCTTTTCGATAAAGGAGAGGAATGGGGTTTTCTTGTCTTCTTCCAACGCCGCCAAAGTCGGGTCCGCCCACAGTTGACCGAAGCATCCAGCGTAACCTTCCAGGAACTGTGACTGGTTCTTTTCAAACGAGTACAGCTGTAAGCTACCCCTAACAACTCGACTCTCGTCCAGGTATATACCAGCTACCAGCGCCCATAGCGGATTTACAGGGTCGTCCACTGAGTAGTTGATCACTTGAATGTCGCTGGACTGAAGCCTTCCTTCCCGTCTCATTACTAAGCGAGGAGAAGACTCCGGTATGTCCACCGATGGCCTTATATCCCAGTGGTATATTTCTTCGCCGCTAATTAGGACCAGAGATCTGTCGTGCAGCCAGCGCCAGTAGCAAATGTCGTCTTTGAATGCATGCTCACCCAACCGAGCCTTAGATGTTAAATCAAAAACTTGGATAAACTGGCCAGACGCATTTTCATTGTATCCCCTCAAGGCAAGAACATCTTCAGTTGGATGCTTCATAGCGCCATCCGCTTTCCTCGTAGATCGCCGCTCCACACTATAGTCATCATACATGTCCACAATTCCAACTTGAGGCTCAGCATCTTGAGCGGTAGGAGGAGCCTTCAAACAAATATACCGATCTCCACCAAATGTTGTCAGGTTGAATCGAAAAGCCTTCTCATTGAAATTGTAGGGCTCATTAAGAAGCTGATCAAGTATTACGGTTTGCTACTCTACAACGCTTACTGAAACTAAAGTATTAACCAAAAGCGGCCCAGAGTTTGACGTGAGCATCGGGGTAGCTATAATAAAATTGCCCTATCAAGTTTTCTTGTCAAAAAATTGCGTGTGCACACGTTTTCTGGTCGCGCAGGGAGCAATGCGAACCACGATAGACCTTCTTAAGGCTTTCTTGACGGACGGAGATGCATTTATAAGCTTGCTAAGAAACAGCGAGCATGCTGTATGGAGCCGGGCGGCACCCTTTATGCTCGCGGGGTATCATGATCTTTCGGTGAGTCACCCATGAAGATATCACATATAATTTATCAGGCTGCCATCATTCTAGCGCTAGTCAGCGCTGCAGCGATCACGATGCTCTATGCATTTGCGAATCATGTTTTTCGTACTATTAGCGATCAAGGTACTCTTTATAAGTTTGGCTCAGGTTTTTATTTCGACTTAGGCCCGGCCATCCAACGAGCAGCCCTGGCTGCTGCGAAAAAGGGAAAAGAATCGGTTGCGTCTCCAAAAATAACATCGAAGTCCAAGCGAGTTGTGGTCGAAGAGGTGGCTCCAGAAAGCGAAGAGAATCACTCATCAGAAGAGGCAGAGTCTCCGCCACCCCGCGCCGCTAAGTCAAAGGCTTCGACGAAGAAAGCTTCAACAGCGGCTACCAAGTGAGTTGAAACTTAGATAGCCACAAATACTTTGTTTATAGATCTCGTGCTCGCAAGAATAAATAAGTGTTAAGAGATTTGATTATTTGACCGAAACCAGTATACATCTGTTCTGAATGGTATCACTAAGTTTGGATAGTTCTAATTCCTCGTCTAGAGGTGGAAGTTTCAAGCGCTGGGTGAAGACGATACGCCATTTGCACCATAATCGTACGCATTATCGGTGCACCATGTATATAGACCAGATTTCCCTGCGCGTACCCGAATTGACGAATGTAAGAGCCCAATGGTCTGAAGGCGGCTCAATGCGGGTGGCGACGGAAGGGGTGAGGACGTTGCATCGGTCGCAGTGGACTTGTAGCTGGGATGAACGTTTGTGTTTATCGAACGTGGAGGTATATTCTACTGATTCGAAGGTTAAGAATCTGGAGACTACGTTGCGAATAATAAAGTCTACAAATCCAAACTGTAGTTACGGGGAGGTTCGTATTGACATAGGGAAAATTAGTCAATTGCCAAATCAGAAGTTCCAGTCGACCGTAAAGTTGTCGCGCTGTCTAGATCCGACGGCGTGTGCGGTGGTGCGTATAGAACTGGTTTGCATTGATCAAGGCGTGAGCAAGCAGGACGAGGAGGTGGGCTTGATGCATAGGCGGAAAGTGCCATCGGCTGCAGCTCCGCCGGAGCTGTCGCCGGTCACGCCGAGTTCGACGAGAGTAAGTGGGCTGTGATGAGGTCTACGTCCATGGGGAGGCGTGCGGGGGGTCCGTGTTTTCTTCTGGGACATACTGCGTTCCCATTGCAGAGTCCCCCAATGGAGGATTACAGACGACAGCTGAGTCAAGCGAAGGTTGCCGTCCATGATCTTCAAGCCGAGAATGATCGCTTGCGCGATAAGCTCCAAGCGTTAATGACCGAGAGGCACAGCCTAAAGTGAGCGTAGTGGGCGGCAGATTAAACGTTGTTGTAGGGCGCAACTTGCGCGGCGACGGGAAGATGACCAAGCCCGTTGTACACAAGTAGATGATTACAATTACGATTCAATGAGTAAAGAAGACCTGATAAGGAAGAGTAAGGTATTGCCTGATAAGAAGTGTTATCCAGCATCTCTGCAGTTCAACGGTTACAATGTTCTAAGGGGTCGAAGGTAGATAGGACAGCTGAACTGGAGGAAGAGTTGATAAACACGAAAGTAAAATTAGCTCAAGCGGAAACGGAGAAAGAATGCGAGGTAAGCCACCAGCATAGCGTGTGCCCACATATGCCAAGCCCATATGCGTCTGGTACGAAGGCCGTTGCCTTTGGTACAAGTCGCTGTATTAACTTCCTGTTCGTTTTAGTTCGAAAATTACAAGCACCAGTGTCAGGAACTGAAGGAAGCTTTGTTGGAGGCCAGTGCTGTGATAGAGCGGTTGCAGGAGGAAGCTTCGAAGTGCTCGAAGAAGACAAGTGTTCAACGAGCCGCCTCTTTGTTGAAGTTTTCTTGAATTTTTCATTACCCGAAAAAATTCACGCCGCCGTGTGAGCTCGTGGAATACTCTGAACCCTCGTCACCCTCGTACGGATTGTCAGAATATCCGGAGACTTCTCCGTCGTTCAGCTGGTCACTCTCAATCAGATCTGTTCCATCCCTCATCAGATCGTCAGAATCTCCTATGTCTTCATCTGCCAGGTCTTCATCCGCTAGGTCTTCATCCGCTAGGTCGTCATCATTGCTTGCTTGGCCGACTAAATCTGCTGAGCCGTCCTGCGGGTTAGGATAAGCGCCGATGTAATTACCATTTACTGAGTCTTCCTCCGACTCCTGCTCCTCCTCTTCCTCCTGAACCGGTGCATACATCTGCGCGTACCCGTAGGCCGGTTTTCCGTTGAAGAGCGAATGTATCATTCCTACGGTAGGGACTCCCATGTCCATGCCACCGGTCATGCCCGGTCCCAGGATCATGTCTGGTCCTGCGTTCATCCTGGTGTCCACTGGGAGAGTCGGTTGGTCATGGGGGTAGGTGGGGGCGACCTGCATGATGACCTCGGAGCTTCTGGTCAGCTGCGCCTCTGTCTGCGGCGCTTCAGCCACTATTGGCTCGGGCAATAGAGTGCTTAGGTCCAGAGTGGAGGACAGCTTGGAGCTGACCCAAGACGTCTTGCGCTCCAGGAGTCGCAGTAAGTCCCGAGTGCCTTGCGGCACCCGGAATCGCACATGAGACTGAAAAATTCGGTTCTTCCACATATGACAGAGCACAGCGATCGACGGCAGGTAAGCTTGTGGAGTAGCGACCGCCTGAGCAAGCGCCTCCGCGCCGCCATCAAAAGCGAGGCTTGAGACCAATTGGTGCTCGCCGTTGAGACCAGCAGCAAAGACACTATGGGGGTTGGTGATGACTAGACGATCCACTAGCAAAACGTTTGTGAGACAGCCGAGCGCAAGCAGGAGCATGTACAAGGCGGCTGCTCTGTCGGTGAAGAGTATTCTCCGTAACCTCTGGAGGTGCGTTGCCACTTTTTCTACGTCCACTTGCTGAATGATCTGCTTGTCGTATAAACTTATTGCTCGCAACGTGTAGCCGACGTTGTCGCTCGCCAGGTCCGCGTTCAGTCCGTTGTAAAGCCACCAGCTGACGGCCACCAATTCGTTTTCGGTCTCGTCCTTGCCGTAGGCTCCGACGACCGTGTGCACGATGATTAACGATTTGAGAATGTCCTGACACATCTTGCTGTGTGTGCGATCATTCATTACGCCGAGCAACCTGTCCGGGCCATCTTGCTCGCCTTCAGCCGACAGCTGCTCTGGAGACTTGCCGCAAACAACATCGGCTAACTTCCGCAATAAGCTTAGCAATCGGTGCTTGACTCGAAAGCCGAGTTTCACTTCGTGGTGAAGAGACCTAATGCCTCCTTCGCCGAAAAGACTCGCGCCAATTGTACTCTCACTCGCCGTGAACCAAACGGAGGGACAGGCGGCACTGACCGATGCTAACAACTGGACGACTGGGTTGGGTGACCAGTCGTCCCTGAAAGAGCTGGTGCAGAAATAACCCGCACGGAGCCGTTGTTCGAACGCGCTCGGAGACACGGCCCCCAGAGACATGTCAGTCGTGCCCGAGGTGCACCGAATAGCACCGTAGTGGGCTGCAAAAAGCGGAAACAATGTCGACGCATCTTGGCCGTCCACAAACAACTTCTGGACCACTCGGCCAATCACGGTCGAGAACTGGGAGATGTCCGCGGAAGTCTCCAACAACTCCGTTAAGTGGATGCAGACCGCCAGGAAACACTCCGCAGAACGCCGACTCACTGATGCCAACCGCTCCAACGCCTGGAAATGCTCTTGGATGTCCACCGTCAACGTCCGGTATCCCGCATGCAAACTCCCTTTCGTGTCCGTTCCGAGCGAATACCATACAGCTATAAAGTGCAACACTTGACCTAGACCACTTGCGGACACATTCGGTTTATACTCGCGACTATTCTCCAACTCTTCCACACACGTGTTCAAACGACCATACAACTCTGCTGTTAAATCCGCCACTCCTTCAATTCGAATTTCTTTCCATACAGCCATGACCACAAATAACACGTAGTCCAATTCCTGTGGCCCAGAGGGAACCTCCAAAGCCCGATTAAAGCAGAAACTCACAATTCTGCCAACCGCCGCCTTCACACCAGGCCTCCATGACAGATCCGCGAAAATATTATCAGCCAACAACCTCTACAACAATGAGTGTCTCCCATGTCAAATTGTGTGTCTGTCCAGATTGTATGTGTGTTCTAACGGCAAAGGTTTTGACTATATTGGACTTGACGCTGTTGAGCACAATGGGGTTGGCGAGAATGTCGGTGATGAAGGACAAGAGTTGTCCTCCAACTTTCTCGTTGAATTTCATCTTTTTGGGTGGGACGGCTGGGTTTTGGATAGGCGGTAGATGGAGGGTGCGTATGCTAGAGAGTGCGGCGTCGCATAGGAGGCCAGTGATGAGTGCGTAGAGTGTGGGTGAGTCGGTATTGAGTTGGGCGATCTTTTGGGTGAAGGTGACACACACGTGCGACAGGTCGGAGAGCCACCTGAAGAGGCCGGGGAAGAGACTGGGGTCTGCGGGCGCTTCCTCCATGCATCTCTCGATGAAGACGAGCATTTGGCGGAGCGAAAGGGCTGAGAGGATGGTAGTCCGAAGGTCGTCTGGTGGGAGTTTTTTGAGCAGGGCTTCACTCCAGCGATTGAGCACGGCAAACTCGTCTCCGTTTTGCACTCTTTTGCGCACGGCCGTCCTACCGCGCTCCACATAAGCCTCCAGCTCTTGGTTCATCGTCTGTTCCACGACCGCCATCATCTGCTGCGTTGTTTCCTCGTCTGTGGTTTGGAAAGACTTGAACAACTGCTGCACCTGCGCCAGTATATCTGAGAAGGCGTCGCCCGACCCCAGAGTCGCGTCCAATGTCAAAGCCGGGTCGTCTTGCGCCAGGGGCCGCTTCATATTTATAAATGAGCGCGCCATGCTGTAGAGGAATTCACCCCGGGCTATGCAAGTGCGGTTGGGCAGAATCCAAGACCCATCACGTTAGGAATTTGGATCGCGAGGTCGAGGAAGCCATCAAACTGCTCAGCAGCAGCTGCAAATACTCGGTGGGCCATGTAGATTTTGCGCGTGTTGACGGCGTAGTTCGACGTGAAGATCCGGATCCAACAGAGAGGGACCTGGTCTGCATCGTTAATGAGAGCCCGGCCTTTACCTGGCTCGTCCGTCTAGATGCACTCAAGAAGTTTGTGCCCAGACTTTGGCAATTCGTCACCAGCAATAGAACACACAATCCGGGCGGCACACACAATTCTGGCGGCACACACAATTCTGGCGACGCACACGATCGTGGCGGTAATAACTATGGCAGTAGGCCGGATCATGGCTATAGAACGGATCATGATAATAGGACGGATCATGGCAACAGGGCAGACCAGGAAAATAGGGGGGCCGATTACGGGAGTAAGTCAGATCGTCATGAATTGGACATTGAAAGTTGGTTTGATATATGTGAAGACAGCACCTTAGTGTTTTCGAAGCCGGTGAGGTTTTACTATCTGGATGCGTTGGTGGAATACGCGGCAACTGGTACGATTCTGTCGGTTCCTGGTCATCTGATTCGGTCGAGTAGCTTCAATGATTTGCTGACGGCATCACACCTGCCCTTCCCTAAT